TCTATGGGTATGATTCTCGCTTTGGGTGTGAGAGGTACCGTGTTCAAATTCCTCTTCGGTCCAGATTTTGGATGCATTTCACTCGTCCCAATTACCGCTGTGAGTGCACTGCTTTCAAAAAGGCGCTACGTTGCTGTTGCGTAAAGCAAAAACAAGAAACAGGGATAGCGGCCGGATGGTCTAAGGGTATGATTCTCGCTTTGGGTGCGAGAGGTCCCGGGTTAAAATCCCGGTTGGCCCCCATTTTGAATGCTTTCAGTCGTTCCAAATTATCGCAGTGTGTTACACCAGGTCTATGGGTATGATTCTCGCTTTGGGTGTGAGAGGTACCGGGTTCAAATTCCTCTTCGGTCCAGATTTTGGATGCATTTCACTCGCCCCACTTATCGCTGTGAGTTCCACTGCTTTCAAAAAGGCGCTTCGTTGGTGTTGCGTAAAGCGAAAAGGAGAAACAGTGAGAGCGGTACCGGGTTGAAGTCCTGGTTCGGCCCACATTTTGGATACCTTTCAGTCGTCCCAAATCATCGAGTTGAGTTTTCAGAGGTCTATGGGTATGATTGTCGCTTTGGGTGCGAGTGGTACCGGGTTAAAATCCCGGTTCGGCCCACATTTTGGATACCTTTCAGTCGTCCTAAATTATCGCAGTGTGTTACTCCAGGTCTATGGGTATGATTCTCGATTTGGGTGCGAGTGGTACCGGGTTCAAGTCCCGGTTCGGCCCACATTTTGGATACCTTTCAGTCGTCCTAAATTATCGCAGTGTGTTACTCCAGGTCTATGGGTATGATTCTCGATTTGGGTGCGAGTGGTACCGGGATAAAATCCCGGTTCGGCCCACATTTTGGATGCCTTTCAGTCGTCCCAAATTATCGAGTTGAGTTTTCAGAGGTCTATGGGTATGATTGTCGCTTTGGGTGTGAGAGGTACCGGGTTCAAATTCCTCTTCGGTCCAGATTTTGGATGCATTTCAGTCGTCCTAAATTATCGCAGTGTGTTACACCAGGTCTATGGGTATGATTCTCGATTTGGGTGTGAGAGGTACCGGGTTAAAATCCCGGTTCGGCCCACATTTTGGATGCCTTTCAGTCGTCCCAAATTATCGAGTTGAGTTTTCAGAGGTCTATGGGTATGATTGTCGCTTTGGGTGTGAGAGGTACCGGGTTTAAATTCCTCTTCGGTCCAGATTTTGGATGCATTTAACTCGTCCCATTTATCGCTGTGAGTTCCACTGCTTTCAAAAAGGCGCTTCGTTGGTGTTGCGTAAAGCAAAAAGAAGAAACAGCGGGAGCGGCCGGATGGTCTATGGGTATGAGTGTCGCTTTGGGTGCGAGAGGTACCAGGTTAAAATCCCGGTTCGGCCCACATTTTGGATGCCTTTCAGTCGTCCTAATTATCGCAGTGTGTTACCCCAGGTCTATGGGTATGATTCTCGCTTTGGGTGTGAGAGGTACCGGGTTAAAATCCCGGT